AAGGGAGTGGGGGCAGGAGCAGTAGAGCCTTAGGGCCATGGTATGGGGTACCATACCACAGCTGACACCTGTGAAAGGCGTGAGGGAAGGGGATGAGGAGCCCAGATGCAGTGCAGCTTGGGAAACGTACACACTCAAAACTTACTGACTTCCTTGGGGCTTTCTTGGAGCAGAGTGACAGCCAGCGACACCCCCTCCCTGGCTCAGAACGCAGGCACTCTGGGGAAAAGGGATCGGAGCTGCAGGCTGGAGGTTGGCCTGAAAAACAGGTGTTGAACTTCGAGGACTTTAACCAGGCCGGAGTGACTCATTAACTCCCTGTCACCCATCAACGCCAGCCTGCCCAAGCTGAGGAGCAGCCAGATTTAGCTGGGAGGTGGTTACGATCTGTCTTCATTTCTGAATGTGAACTCCAATCCTTTCTGTGGACACGAAGCCTCGGCTGTGGCATTTTTCTCTTATATTTCCCCTCTGTGGTTTTGATTTGGTTCTGAGGGATGTCCATCCTGCCATTCAGCTCATGAATACTATTAAGTATTTGATTTTCAAGAATTCTTTTTTGTTCTGTGAAGGCTCCTTTTTCACGGTCGTTAGTTTTTGTTTGATGGTGATAACAGCAGTGCTTACATCACCAAGAAGTTGTGTGGTTTATGAAAGGGAAAGCTGTAAAGACCTTGGAACAGCCCTGCATGGAAAAAATGCCCACCAGGGCCAGTTCCCAGCTCAGTGCCTGGTATTCACAAGCGCTCAATAAAGTTACCTATTGTATCAGCTGCTTCACAGAAGCGTGTCCTAGAAGACTTGGCGACTCTGGGGCTGTGTGGAAGCCCAACTGCATTCCAGCCAGCGTGGAGGAGGAAGAGTAGAAGGAGGCTTGCCTCTTCCCTCTATGGGGTGGGGGGGGAGTCCAGAATGGAGTTCTGCGCACAGCCCACTGGCCAGTTGCAAGGGAGGCTGGGAAATACACTCTTTCTTAGGACAACTCTGTGCTCTGCTGAAAAGTAGCATTTCTGAGCAAGGGAGATTGGACATCTAAGGACTGGCCATGTTTGTCACAGAGAGACAAGCTTTAAATAAATGAACACACACACACACAAATGTGCGTGCGCACATGCAGTTTAATGAGCCTTGAGAAATGATGTGAAGGAGAGGTAGATGATATTGGAAGAGCAAATGAGGGAGGTCAGGAAGGCTTCCCTAAGGAGGTGACATTTGAGATGTGAGAGAATGATGTAGAGCTATTGGGGAAAGAGGAGACTGTTCACAATAATGCCAGCAGTGGTGCAAAGGCCCTGTGGTTGGAAGACCATAGTACACTCAGGAAACTTAAGTTCTCTGGTCCACGGACACAGGGGATGAGGTTCCTGTGAATGGTCCACAGGAAGGTGTTCCATGGGGCTGAAATTCAGATAGTTAACCTGCTCCAGGCTCTTTTGAAGTTTCTATATGTATTCACTTAATCCTGGAACAACCTGTGAGGGTGTCAGTTCTCAACTTCAGAGAAGCAGATGCCCAGAAGGGATCAGACAACTACAAGGCCTATGGGGGAAGCACCGCTAGAAGAGAAGGGGAAGGGAGTGGGGGCAGGAGCAGCAGAGCCTTAGGGCTGCGGTATGGGGGACCATACCCCAGCTGACACTTGGGAAAGGCATGAGGGAGGAAGATGAAGAGTCAGATGCCATGCAGCTTGGGAAACTTACTGACTCAAAAGCAACATTATAAAGTTGGAAACAACATGGCTGCCCACCAAGGAGATCCCCAGAGCCCCGATGGTGGCAGCAGAATGGCCGCCAGTGGACAATGCCACATGTAACCGGTGGAGAGTCTCCACTTTATTCTGGGTGCAGAGCGGTGAGTGCTGTTGACTGAGCTGGGGCACCTAGGTGTTATGGAGTCACTGTACCCCTCAAATTCATAGCTGAATACCCTAGCACCTCAGTATGCGACTGCTGTGCAAATAGGAACTTGAGAGAGGTGACAGGCAAAATGAGGTTGTCAAGATGAGTCCTGCCCTATCTGACAGGTGTCCTTGTAAGAGGAGGTGATGAGCAAGCAGAGAGGGGAAGACTCCTGAGGGCTCAGGGAGACAACACTGCCCTCAGGAGCCGATCCTGCAGACACCGTGAGCTTGGACTTCTGCCTCCAGAACATCAGGGAAATAGTGGCCATTACTAAGCCTCTCAGTGCACCATGTGGTGTTTGTTACAGCAGCCCAAGGTGGCTGGTGGGCCAGGCTGAGGGGGCAAGCTTGATGGGTTTAATTTTTGGACACCTTTGCTTTGTGTTGCCTGTGAGAAATTTATGGGGAGAAGTCTGGGGACGATTTGAAGGCAGGGATGGGGTGGGGAGGCCAGGGCTGCAGTTATTCTGTGGCTCAGAGGTGTGGCTTATGTGGCAATGAATCGGACCCCACAGGTGGGGTGGCAATGGCAGGATTGCTGAGCCCGGTGAGCACGGGCCCTGCATAAGTCTGTTCACCGTGGGTGTCCTGAGGTTCCGCCATGGGCCCAGTGTCCCCAAGGCCCCTCATCAAGGGATGAGAGGGAGCAAGCGCTTTGAGCCTCTACCCTGTGTCATCCCCAGCAGACTCCCTCAGGACACGCTGTCTCTCAGAACAGCACTTCCTTGTCTGTAAGGCTGGCCTCTCAGGTGTGAAGACAAGATGGAGGGTCTGAAGTGCAGCGTATGCGCCGCCATTATGAACCTGAGAACTGGAGGGATTCAGGGAGGAAGGCCGCCCCCACATCCCCCTTGGAGGGGTAGTGGAGACAGAGGCCTTCTGGGACAAAGGTGGAAGATGAGGGGCTTCGGGAGCTCTGCCAGGCTGCCCGAGAGGAGATGCAGCCACTGTTAGAGAGACACAGCCAGTTACCAGTGCCCCAAAGGGACAGCCTGAACTTCATGTCCCTTGCCTCCTCCTGTCTGTCCCCAGAGTCTCCCACCAGTCAAACCCACTGGGACACCAGAGGGTCTCCAGGGCTTGGTCTGTGGAGGGAGCTGCCCGGACCACAGAGCAAGTGGAGAAGTCTGGGGGCCTGGGGGGGTGAGCAGAGGATGTCCAGGGGTGTAGTCACACCCTTCTTTACAGACAGAGAGAGATAAGCATGGTATTTAGAATTAAGGACATTATATACATATACATATATATATATTTATTTTAAAAAGACAGAAATTCTGAGTGGAACTGGGGCTTGGTGGAATGTCACTTTTCATCCCATGACTTCCTATAGTGCTTGAACTTTACAACAATGTGCAGGTGTGATTTTTAAAAGAATTACTTGAAGGCATGACCTGGGTGCCAGTGCAAGAGGCCAGGGCTTTCAGGGAAGAGAGAACCCCATCCTTTGGGTCCCCATCAGCCACCGGCCACTTTTTCATCAGCTTCTTGTCATTTTCAGGGCCATGCGTGCCCTTCCATAGGAGAACCTGGATGCTTTCTCTCCTACCCCCAACGGGACCTAAACCCCTGTTTCCTTTATAAAAATGGCGCATGCCATGTGTTCTGCCCCACTTTGGCAAGAGCAGCCTTGAGGGGTTGGACAGTGTGCAGAAAAGCCGCGTCACATCCTCGTCTACACCACAAACTCCTTACACTCCTGGTTTGGCTTCCGGTGGCAGCAGGAGCTGCATCCCTGACCCTGACGGGTGCACAGGGAATGCCCCAAGTCCCACCAGGACCTAGGGGAGAGCGCAGCCACCCTAGTAGGAGCCCAGGCCCACCCATAACATTCCAGAAAGCCTGGACAGGTCGTCCAGCAGCCTCCTGGGAGAGGAGCAGGGGAAACCTCTCCACCTCTGGGTCTGGCCGGGAAGCTCCAGAGGTGAGCTCTGCCCACACATCCCTGGGCTGTCTGGAGGGTCCCCCGACCCCTTTCCAGAAGACAAGCAGGCGTGGGCTGGCTCACCCACTTCTCTCTTTAACAGTTGGGTGAACTGGGAAGGACCCGCCGCCTTTCAGAGTCATTTCTTCATCTGCAACACGCTTGGCCGAGGATCTCGCAGGAGTGTGGGTTAGAGGGCTCGCAGGCTGGCTGGCACGCTCGGCTCACGTGCTTCTCTTGGGCAAGTCACTCCTCGCCTGCTCGCCCTCCCTGCAAGCCGAGCTCGGACGCGGCCTGGGCTCGCTGCCGACGAGGCAATCTGTGAACCGCCCTGTCAACTGCTGAGCACCGCTGGGTCTCCAGGAAGGGGCTCCCGGCGGCGGGGGTCGCTGCTCCGGGGCAGCGGGCAGCGGGCCTCGGGCGCCCGGGGAGGCCGGGGCAGCGCGGCGAGCGCGCCCTTCCCGGGCGGGGAGCGGTGATGGCTCAGCGGAAAGCCCGTACCGTATTTCTCCTACAACACGCTCCCCCGCCAAGTCCCCGCCTCTACTGGCGCCCAATCCGAGACCCAGCGACCCATCCGGGTCTGGAGGTGCTGGGTGGGCCGAGCTCGCCAGGCCGACCCCACGGCGCCCGCCCCGGGTGCCCCACACTTTCAGGAGACGGCAGGGCTTTGCTTGTTCCCCGAGGCGCGTCTCGCGCGGTCCCCGGGGAACCGAGGCTTGGCAGCAGCCCCCCGCGGACGCCCCGAGTCCACCATGAAGGGAGGACCCCGGAGGTGGCCAGGAGCCAGGGGCCCAGCGGCCGGCGAAGCGCGGGACCCCGCGGGGCCGGGGCTGCGGAATCTGCCGTGCGCGGCTCGCCGGCGGCCGGCGGGGCCCGGGGCGGGGCGGGGCCGGGGGCGGGGCCGGGGCGGGGCGGGGCGCGTGACGCGCGGCGCGGGCCAATGGGGCGCGCGCCCCGGGCCGAGCCTCCTGCGAGCCTTCGCGGCGCCCGGGACGTCACGTGAGCCGGGAGTGAGCTCCGAGGCGCCGCCGCGGGCCGGACTCCGCCGCAGCGACCCGCGGGCCAGCGGGCGAGCGAGCGCAGGAGCCGCGGCTCGCCCCGCGGCCGCCGCCGCCGGACCCGGAGCGAGGCTGCCGGCCCAGCCCGCTGGGCCTCGGGACCCCGGGCCCGGCCGCCAGCCGGGCGCGCGCCGGACTCAGGTGGGAGCCGCGCGGCGGGCCGGCGGGGGACGGGGCCGGGCGCCCCGGGAACCGGCCGGGGCTCGGGGCGGCGCGGGAGGCGCGGGCCTGCGGCGGGGCCGGGCGCCCGAGCCGCTGCCCCCGCTCCGCGCGAGCGTCCGCGGACGTGTCCGAGCCGCAGAGCGAGCCCCGCGCGAGTCGGGGGCGCCGGGGGCCGGACCCCGTCCGCGGGCGCTTCGCTCGGCGGCGCGCCCCGGCCCGGCCCGGCCCGCGTATGGGCGCGCGCCCCGGCCCGGCGTCCCATATGGCGGGGCCTGGCCGCAGGAGCGCACGGGCGGGCGCGCCGGCCCGCCCGGGGCTGGGGAGGTGGGGCGCGCAGGGGCCGGGCGGGGGTTCCGGGCGGTCCCCGCGGCCGGCCTGCGGGAGGGGGCGAGGGCGAGGAGCCGGCGCCCGGCGGGCAGCGCGCCAGGGCTCCGAGTGGGGCTGAGCGGGTGCCCCAAGCGCTCCTTTCCCACGCGCGCCCCCACGCGCGCGGGGCCCCGCCGTGTCCACGCGCCGGCGCGCTGCGGGCGCCTCCCGCACGGCCACCCCGGCCCCGCGCCCCCCGAGCCCGCGCCCCGCGCCCCGCGCCCCGCGCGCGCACAGCCCCACGGCGGGACTCAGCCCCTCGCACACGCCGCAGCTTCCCACGCGCTCGGAACTCCTCCTGCCACACTGTCCCGCTCCCTCTCCCCGGACCTCAGCAAAGTGACGCCGGGGAGGGGGCGGCATCGCGAGCAGAGAGGCCCCCCGCCCCCCGCGGCCACGGGATCCCCTGCCCTCCCCACCCTGGTGTCCCCGGTGGAGTCTCCACCCGCCCCCCAGCCTGGAAGGTACGAGGGACAGTGTCTCCTTCAGTGCCCCAGGGTGGCAACGCGGCTCAAAGCCGGCGTCCCTCAGGCCCCTCCCCGCCGGGCCGGCCGCTCGCGGGAGGGAGACCCCGCGCCCGCAGGTGCGAGCGAGCGCGGCCGGGCGGGCCGGGCCGGGGGCCTGCGGGCGCGCGGGGAGCCGGGACTCTTATTTTGAAAGGCGGCCCCCGCCCGCCGCCCCCGTGATTTGCGCGCTGACCCAATGGCGAGCCCTTGGCCGGCGCCCGGCTTGTTATCAATTACATGTTGTTCCTGCAGCGCTGTGTCCCCGGGAGGATAAACAGCAGGCCCGGCGGCGGGGAGGGGGCGGGGCCGCGCCGGGGCCGGTGCCCGGAACAGCGCGTCCCTCCCCCTGCGCCCTGCGCGCAGCCTGCGCCTCCGGCCGTGCCACGTGCGGCTGTTTCAGGGGCCCCGCCGGGCCCGCTCTCCCACCTGGGTACCCGGAGCTAACCCGGCCCCCCTCTGGGCGCTCAGCGTCCAGCCCGGGCCACTTACCCCGCACCCTCCCTCCCGGCGCTGAGAGCTGCTGCTGACCGGGCTGGGCTGCCCGGGTTCTCATTCCCCCTGCCAGGACCCCAGAGCATCTTGCTCACTCCATCAGCAAATTCTGGGCCCCTGTTTTATGCTAAGGGATAGGGTGATGGGCAGCATAGTCAGAACAGCTTGTATTCTGGTGGGGAGGTAGGCAGAAAGAAAATAAAGTACCCAAGTAAATAACCAAGATAATTTCCTCAAAAGGTGATTGTGGGTGATAGGAGCGAGGGTGGTCAGGGGGTGATTTCTGAGCTGAGGTCTAGTGAGACCCTCCCTCCCACAGGAGTGTTGAGGGAGGAAGCCAAGGAGAGGGAATAGCCAGGGCAGTGAGGCCTGTGAAGTGGGAGAGCTTGCCACACCGCCGGTGGGGAGTGGAGCAGGTGGAGGTGAGGTCTGGCAGAGATGGGCAGGCCCAGGGCCTGGGCTGCTGGGAGGAGACTGGGCTGCGTTTCCTGAGGACACCCCTGGAGGTTTACTCCCACCCCACCCTTCTGTGTCTATTTCCCCTACTAGTGTTTTTATCATCTCAGTTGATATCTCTAAAAAGTAAGGCATTCTTTAAATAGAATGTACCAACCACAATGGCATTATCACATTTACAAACATTAGCAGTAATTCCTTAGTCTCATGGAACATTCTATGGGTAATCACACTGGGGTCAAGGGTGAAGCAGGTAGGGATATGGCCCCTTCTGCCCCTCGCCCACCAGTCCTGGGGAGTCCCCGGGTTCCAGGAAGGCTAGAGTCCCTCTGGTTCCTTAGCGTCACAGCAAAGGGTCAGAAAACCCACCACTTGGAGGTCATCCAAATGGCTGGTACTGATGTGCTTGCGAGCCAGCTCCTCTAGTAAGTGCCCTACAGGTATTAGCTCATTGGACCCTTATAACAACCTGGGAACTAGGCACTGTTGGCAGCATCCCCTGAACAGACCAAGACACGACACAGAGAGGTTGTGCCACCTGCCCATGGCTGCCCAGTGAGGAGTTGCAGACACAGGACGACAGCCCCTGCGCTGAGAGTAGACAGTGGATTAGGGGCGGTCTGAGCTTGCTCTCCAGCCTCACTAACCTTGGCGTTTTCTGGTACCTTCATTCCTTGTCAACACTTGATTTGGTGCATAGTGTGTATTTTAAAACTCCCAGTTTAAAATCCTTAGCCGAGTGTTGAAAACCCAAAGCCTGATGTCTTCCTTGCTGAGGGGGGTGCAGGCCTGACCAGGGCATCCACCTTGCCTTAGTTTCCCAGAGCTCTGTGGGGCTTTCCAGATGAGTGGGGAGCAGAGGTCAAGGGTCCTGGTCTATCTCAGCAGAAGAGAGGCTTAGAGGTCATTGAGGCCATTGATGGGGAAGTTGAGATTTGGGGAGAGTAAGGACTTGCCCAAGGCCACAGCTGATGATGAGTCTGGCCCTGGAGGCCTCTGTGGTGGTCTGCCTGTTGACCCTTCAGCAGTGCTGGGCGCCAGCCCCTGGCGTGGTCCTTGAGACTGGGGGTGGGTGCAGAGGTGATGTCAGGCCGCAGAGACTCTGGCTTCACATGCAGAACATTCTGCTTCCCAGCCTCAATAAACACCCAGCCATGGTCACTGGTTAGGGACAAAGGTCCATAGAGGTGGGCCTGTCATAGCTGGACACTGTTGACTCGCCTTGGACACTGCACCTAGCATGGCCTTCAGAGGACACAGCTTTCTCCTCTGCTCTGTGTTGACACCCTCTGAGCCCCTCCTGGGTACCAGCTGCCACACTGGGAGCCGGGGGTCCAGCAGAGACCCAAAAGCCCAGCCTGCCCTTATGGAGCACCAGGCCTCATGGGGACATAGGAATTAGCAGAGACTTCCCAAGGTGGTGAGTGCTCCCTGCTGGGAAAGCTGCAGCCCCGATGTGGTGGGCAAGAGACTCTCGTCTCCAGGCCCCCTAAGCAGTCGTGATGTCCAGTGAGGTCATCAATGCAAGGGCCCCAGGCTCTGCCTGCCCTGGTGGGAAAGTCTCCGTCAAGTGTTTGGGCACAGTTGAGAGTGCTTTACACAGACTGTCCCCACCGCTCCCATTTCACAGATGAGGCGGCTGAGTCTGGGGGGCCTGGGAACCGGCATGATGAACTGCCCGCCTTCCTGGGGAAACAGCCTGTGAGGGCATGTGCATAGGAATCTTTCATTTTTTTACCACAAACTAGTCTTGCCAGATTAAAGTACATCTGCCCAGTTAAATTTCAAAACAACTTTTAACATAAGCACATCCCATCCGATATTCCAGACATTCTCATATTAAAAGTTCTTTCTAAAATCTGAAATTTGAATTTAACCCGGTGATGTGTATTTTGATTTGCTCAATCTGGCAACCCTATCCAAACCCTAACAACACGGGGGTCAGAGGGCAAATGGCCTTCCTCCACCCTCCCCCCTCCTCCAGTGACTCAACTGGAATGGAGCTGAGGCCAGGTGTCCTCAAGAATGAGCAACTCCAACGAACTGGGTGAGGTTCCCCAACCGTGGTCATTCTGGGGTGCAGCGAGCTTCTTCACCTGCACACTTTCTTGCTCACACCCACTTATACTCAGTCACTCAGAGGTCCAAGTGTATTCTTGCCTAGAATCTTTCTGGAAAATCTGTTTGAAACCAAAAGTGTCCTGGGTTGTGCAACAGGCTTGGAGAGGGCTCTTTTGCAAACAGGTGGTGCAATTTCAGAGAACGCTCTTGCAGGCAGAGTTCTCCCAAGGGACGAGATGGAGGCAGGATCCAGGCACTTGTCTCTGGGAGGCTGTGGGCAGGCGGTGGAGGAGGGCGCAGGCCCGCGAGGTGGCAGGTGAGTGCGCTATCCTCATGACCAGGCCTTCCTGTTCCTTTCCGCAGCCGCCACCGGCACGGCCAGGCCAGCATGGTGGACCACTTGCTTCCAGTGGACGAGAGCTTCTCGTCACCGAAATGCCCGGTTGGCTATCTGGCCGAGAGGCTGGCTGGCGGGCGGGCCTACCACATGCTGCCCTCTCCCCTCTCTGAGGATGATAGCGATGCCTCCAGCCTGTGCTCCTGCGCCAGCCCTGACTCGCAAGCCCTCTGCTCCTGCTACAGCAGTGGTCCGGGGGCCGAGGGCCAGGACAGCATCTTGGATTTCCTACTGTCCCAGGCCACGCTGGGCAATGGTGGCGGTGGTGGCAGCATCGGGGCCAGCAGTGGCCCCATGGCTTGGGGGCCCTGGCGGAGGGCACCGGCCCCTGTGAAGGGGGAACATTTTTGCTTCCCCGAGTTTCCTGTGGGCGACCCCGATGACGTCCCAAGACCCTTTCAGCCCACCCTGGAGGAGATTGAAGAGTTTCTGGAGGAGAACATGGAGCCGGGGGTTAAGAAGGCTCCAGAGAGCAACATCAAGGACTTGGAGGCCTGTAGCCAGCTCTCAACTGGGCCACACCGGAACCACCTCCTTCCCGGTTCCGGCGGAAGGGAGCGCTGTGCCCCCACTCCAGGCAGCACCAGCGCAGGCAGCAGCCAGGGCCCAGGTGGGGGGCCCGCACCCGACGGCCCCATCCCTGTGCTGCTGCAGATCCAGCCCGTGCAGGTAAAGCAGGAATCCAGCACAGAGCCCCCGTCCCCTGGCCAGGCCCCGGAGAGCATCAAGGTGGCCCAGCTCCTGGTCAATATCCAGGGGCAGACCTTTGCCCTCGTGCCTCAGGTGGTGCCCTCCTCCAGCCTGAACCTGCCTTCCAAGTTTGTGCGCATCGCCCCTGTGCCCATTGCTGCCAAGCCTATTGGGTCAGGACCCCTGGGACCCGGGCCTGCTGGCCTCCTCATGGGCCAGAAGTTCCCCAAGAACCCAGCAGCAGAACTCATCAAAATGCACAAATGTACTTTTCCCGGCTGCAGCAAGATGTACACCAAGAGCAGCCACCTCAAGGCCCACCTGCGCCGGCACACGGGCGAGAAGCCCTTCGCCTGCACTTGGCCGGGCTGCGGCTGGAGGTCAGTATGGGGGTGACAGGCCGGGTGGTGAGCGAGGCCCACTTGTCTCTGCTCCCCTGGGTGTGTGGCCGAGGCAGTGTTCTCCACCATTAGATAAGGCTGATTATGAAGGGGAGAGGGGTCTGCCAGGGGTCAGGGCCAGAGCTGGCACGGCTGCCCAGAAGTTTCTTTGTCCCTCCTGTTCACTAAAGCCGGAAACCAGCCAGTCTCCAGTTTCATAATGACCAGGTAAGGCTTGCTGCGGCTTGCGCTGCGGGCTGGACCACAGCAGAGGAATCCTTGTTCCTACAGTTCCTACAGGTTACAGTAGTAACCAGAACAGGTAGCTAAGAGCAGCGGTGCATGGGCTGAGACTGTCCGCAGCTCCCTCTGCACCTCACAGCACCCCACAGTACTACCCTCACTCCATCCTGTAGCTGAGCAGACTGAGGCTCGGACCTGCCTAGTCCCTGGCCCAAGGTCACAATACTTTGCAAGTGGGATTTGAACCCAGCGGGGGTGCATCAGAGAAGTCACTCCTGAAAGGCTGCTTCCCCAACCGGAGGGACCAGTTCCATCTGCAGAAGTTCTTGGGCCCATGGGCTGGGCCTGCCTCATGCTCCCGCTGGGGCCATGGAGGTGTGTTTGGGAAGCCAGAAAGGCCAGTGGAGAGAGAGGGCCAAGCTGGGGATCTCGACTGAAGGTGGAGGAATTCTCCCAGATGCTCTGCTCTGTGTGGCACGGCGGGGAACACTTTTCACAGTGCAGGGGCCTCGTCTGTGTTATCCGGCTGAGGGCAGTACAGCTGGATGGATCACTGAGGCGCACTCTCCCCTGGACACCCCCTCGCTGTCTACAGGAGGGCATGTCTGTCCACCTTTGAAGCGCAGGCAGTAGGCCAGAAGCTTGAATGCTCGGGACCACCTCATCTACACTCTCCCCAATTTGGGGTGCCTGTCTGCAGGAATCTCCAGCCTGCCCAGGGGGTGGTGTGTGCTAACAGCTAGTTCTGGGTTCTGCTGCGTGTGTATGTGAGAGAGCACTATGGCGTGCTTGTCTGCACTGCATATAGAGCTGACCTTGCACACGCGAGTGGAGCTGTGTGCGTGTGTGCTTTGTGTGTCTCTGTGCCACAGGACCATCATGTTGGTGTGCATGTGTCAAGTTTGCCTGAGCACCTTGTGCGTGTATGTGTGTGCATCTGTGTGGGGGTGGCATTCTGGGGAGCAGTCTGCAGCCCTGGTTTTTTTGACCAGACTCTTGTTCTGAGAGCTCGTTATCCTGACCTCCTGAGCTTCGGCTTAGGCTGGAGTGCTAGATGTGATTCTGGTGGCCACTTTCCACATAGTGCCGAGCAGGCCGGAGAGTGGCTTTGGATGCAGCACACTAGCCCCTCAGCTGAGTGTGGCAGTAGCAGTGTCACTGCCTCTGAGCCTCATGCCACCCACCGAGTGAGCCCTAGTGACCCTAGTGGCCCTAGCTGTCCTTGTGGGGCAGCCTGTGAGGCCTGCCACCCCTTCTCATTAGCCACATTGTCACTCTGACGCAAGGCCAAAGTATGAGAAGGCTGCTCAAAGGTATTCTGCCTCCACATGGTGGTACCCCATTTGGGAGCCGCCCCCAGGCTCCCAGGGACTCTTCTTAGAGGCATTCTCCTCCTGGTGGGGAGCAGGGCTGTGGAGAGACTGGCAACCCTCTTGGCTGAGCTCTGTCCTGGTGTCCTCTGGCATGGCTGATCCCTGGTGAGCAGGCTCTCCAGTGGAGAGAGGCTGGTGGGCTTGCAGGGAGGTGTGGCCAAGGTTGCCCGCTCAGCCTACACCCCTGGGAGGAGGCGCCTGCTTTCTTCTGAGCTATCCCAGAGTGTAGACAGGACTTGACCTAGAGGGTGTTACAGCAGCCTCTGGAGGCAGCAAGCTCCCTAGGGCAGGAGGTATGCTAGCAAGTGAGATCTGTAGAGGGAATTCAGCTTTGCCACTGAGCCCTGGCGCTAGTCTTGCCCAAGACCCACTTGGCAGAGGAAGACAGGGAGGGTACCTGACATGGTGAGCTCCCGATGGAAGGCACAGCAAAGGCATGGGGGTTGGGGGCACCCACCTTTCAGGAGCCCTGTTCTCTTAAGGATGCTGAGTCTGTGATTGAACCCCTAGGGATATAGGCCAGACACACCTTTCTCTTCAGCCAGGGGAGAGGATTATCAGAATTAGACTGGAGACAGACCTGGCTATGGGGCAGCTTGGTGGTGGTGTGGTGGTGAGGGTGCCGGTGGTGAGATGTCACATTTACTGTCCACTTAATTCTTTGTGTGGCCCCATTCTAAGGTTCTCAGGGCTGGAATCTCCTTCACCAGCCCTCACACTTGCTGGCATGTCTCCAGCCATGGGGAGCTCATCCTCCCCCAGGCTACTCTGCCCTGGGGGTGCTCAGGTGCACTTACATTCCTGCCCAGTCTGTGCCACAGTTGTGGCCATAGGCCTGCGTGATGTGCTTGCGGACCTCCCCGTGGCTGTGCAGTGTCCCTTTGGTGGGTCTGGGGCCCTGTCTATGGCCCCTGGGTCCAGTGCTGTCCCCCACTCTGGCAGCTCTAGTTAACCTTACAATGATCCTGACTTTGTTCTTCACCTGTCGTGTGCCTTGGCTCATCACAACAGCCCCAATCCACATTTTACAGAGGGGGAGATTGAGACCCAGAAAGATCGTCACATGCCCATGGACAGAGATAGTGACGTGGTTCTGGATACACCCCCATGTGGGTGCCTGGTCCGCCTTCACCCATCAGCAGTTTTCACCTGGAGAAGCCAGCTGCCATGCCTGGCCTTTTCTCGCCCTCCCTCCCTCTGTACCTGCTGTCAGAGCTGGGCTGGCCTCCTCCTGGCCCACCCGGCTGTCTGCTCTTTCCAGCTTTATGATCGGGGCTAGGGAAAAATTGCTGACACCCCCAACAGTGACGATAACAAAAACTCCTACTGTGCACCAGACACTGCTTTTATCATTCCAAATAAGTCTACCAGGGAGGCATCAGTATGTTGTCCCCACTTTACCGGGAGGCACAGAACAGCTGAGCAAGCTCTCCATGGTCACACAGCTAGTTAATGGGAGAGCTGGGAATCCAGGCTTCCCCCAGCCCCTACGCCCCACCGGGGGCCTCTCCCTACCCCTCTCTGCTCACCTCCATGATGGGAGGACCTCCACCTCTACCTGCAGCTGGGCCCTGCTCTTTGGGGTTACCTCTCACCTGCCTGCCTGCCTCTGTAGGGAGCTCACCACTCCCAAGACCGCCTCTCTTCTTCCTGGTGAGCCATTTGCTCGTCCTCCCACTGGGTTGGTACTGGCCCTGGCGCTGTGTCCTGTGCTCAGAGGACAAGTCAGCCCCACCCTGTGCACCTTTGTGTAATGAACGGTGTGTTCCCCCCACCCCCTGCCCAACAAGGTCCTCACTTGCCCTGGTACCCAACCCCCACTTCCTTCTGCCTTTGGTGCTGAACTCTGTATTCCCTGTCCCTTACCCTCCTGTGACGTGGCTGGGCACCCTTGAAACCAGACTTGCCCTACTCCGATGTAAGTGTCTGGGAAGTGGCTGTTTGCCTGCCTTCCTAGAAGTTTCCTTGCTTCACCCGCAGACACAGGCCTTCTTTGTTCCCTGCAGTAGAACGTCCTGTTCCGGAATGGCCAAGCCATTCTATCCGGAATCCCCTCCTGCCACAGCTAATATGAATCTTAGCAACTTTCAGCAGCCCCAGGTGGCAGGTACTGTTGTCAACCACAGGAGACACAGGAGGCTCATAAGAAGGGCTTGCAGGCCTCAGGCCGCAGAGCCAGTGGGAGGCAGGGACAGGATGTCACCTCGTGGTTCAGCCACCAGCCTGCTCTCTTGACCCCTGCATCATGGCTGGGGTGACTCTATTCCCAATGTAGGCAGGGCCCCCACATATGGCTGGGCAGGTTGTGCATGGCTTGGCTCTAGGGAATGCCATTCCCACCGCCATTTTTGGGACTTGAGCGCTTGCGAGAATGGCTTTCTGGCTTATGGTTTTCTTGACCAAAGGTGCTGTGTGTGCCAGTGGCAGTGCTGATGTTAGGGGCTATCAGATAGTCCCTGGCCCCCATGTTTCCTGTTCCTGCACCTCAGCAGCATGAATCACAGTCGTGACCCACGTGCCCCAGGACCTCGCCCGGGACAGGCCTGTGCACAGCTCCTTGAGGTCTAAGCTCACAATGTTGGACAAATGCCACAGGCAACGCTCTGCTCTGAACACTCCTTGCCTTTTGCAGCCCTCACAGCTCTCGGAGGTGGATCTGTCATTCCTCCCATCTCCAAGTGGGGAAATTGAAGGTCAGAGCCGGCTGCTTACCCAGGCAGCGTGGTCAGTAAGTGGGGGAGTCTCTGCCCTCAGAGGCTGCATCTGGGCCATTTGGCCCCCTCCTGGTAGCCTCTGGGTTTCCCTGCTGGCTGCTCTTGGGAGAGTGTGGATAAAGATGTGAGGCAGGCGTGGTGCCCTCAGAAGCTCACAGGACCCTGTGGTGATGGGGAGGGGTTTGGAGCAGGGGGACAGCTTGTTCTCAGGCCTGGCTTTCCCTCAGCGGCCTCTCCTCGGGGTGTCCCCACAGAAGTGGGCTGCCGTTTTCCCGTGTCACTGCCTTTGGCCTCTGAGTCAAGTCCTAGAAGGCAGGCAGGAATCCCAAGGTCTTCATTGCCTGACGGAGAAAATGAGACCAGGATGCTGCTGTGTTTGTTCAGGACCTTGAGGGGCTTCTGGTGAGGTGGGGATCCAAGCAGCTCCTGCTGTCCCTCGCCCATGGGATCTGGTCAGCCTCTGGGTCTCTGTCCTCTTGCCGTGTTCTTATGGGAAACCTTGGGCATGGCTGGTGGCATTGTTTCTGCCCTCTGCCCTTCACAAGCCTGTCCGAGGGGGGCAGATGACTCTGGTTAGGGTGCACACATGTGAACTCAGATTGCCAGGGTACACTGCTGACACTTCCTCACTGGCAGGGGGCTCGCGTGACACACCTCCCAGCCAGGCTTCATGCAGGAGGTGGGCCCTTTGTGGCCCCCAGGGAGGCGGGGCACAGCAGGGAGCTGTGTGGAAGCCCTTTTTCTGGCCTTGGCTGCTCTGTCCTGGTGACCCTGGATCAGGCCCTCATCACTCTGAGTCTCAGTTTCAACATCTGGTAAATGGGGCACTTGGGCCGCCCATCCTTTATCCTGCAGATACACTGAGGAAATTGACCTGTGATAGCCCCACGTGGTGTTCTAGGATGTGGGTGGAGCGCTGGCCCCTGAGCGCAGGGCCCCGGGTACTGGAGGTGGCCAGCCAGGCTGGGGTGCCGGTCCTCCGTACCCACAGGCTGACTTCCCTCGGGGGCCCAGGTCCTCCTTCCTGCCACCACCAGAGCCCTCACCCCTGGGTTAGTTCTGCTCCACGCCAGGCTGTGAAATCAAGGGCTCCACCCCCAGGGTCAGCCCCTAAACATCAGCTGTTCTAAGGCGCCACCTAACCCACCTTTCACTGTGCGGTGCCAGCTCCAGGAGTGAGGAAGTTGGGCCTGTGTGCGTGTACACACATGTCAATGCGTACCACATGGATATGTGTGTCAACATGTGCACATGTACATGCAATTGTATGTGTGTACGCCGTCATGTGTATGCACGGTGTGCATCTGGGCACATGAATGTGTGTTCGTGCGCGTACAGCTTCCCATGTATGACGTGTGCATGTGCACGTGTGTGTGCAAGCAGTGGGTCTTGAGGGGACAGCACTCTGCCCTCCTTTGGGGGTTTGCTATGTCATCCTTTCACTTAAACACACGTACTGCGCACCAGGCACAGGGCTGGCCACAGGGGAGACCACAGGGAACCAGATAAAAAGTGGGGTGTGGGGTCTCATGGCCGAGACCAGGGTCCTGGGATGCGGAGAGCAACAAATCGCTGGCGTCTTGATGGCAGCCTGAGCCTGGACCCCCTTGGGTCTTAACTCTCCCATTAGCAGCTGCCGCCTCCCTGTGGCTTCTGGACTGCAGGAGAGTTATTCCGCACCCAGCCAGGGAGGGAGGTGTCGGGGGAACCATCTAGATCCTGGAAGTACCAGCCAGTGTGCATTTTTGTTTGGGGACATCTTAGGGATCTCAGCTATCAGGAAAGCAGGGTGCAAGTGTAGGGTGAGCCTCAAACCTGCTGTGTGGGAGCAAGAGCCAGGAGCTGGGCTTCCCTGCAGTGCTGGGGAAAGACATCTCCTGGAGGGCAGTTCCCCCACCTCCCCACCTCCCCTGCGGGGGGTCTTCCCCTGCAGGGCCCCCTGCAAAGTCCCAAGGTCTGGCCTAAGGGGAGAGCCCCTCCCTTGGGCCTACAGGGGACTGTGGAAGGAGTTCCCCAGCTCATGGGCTTGAGGGCGGGTGGGAACACCTAGCAGCCGCTGACTGGGTCCAGAAGCAGAGAGGCCCCGGGGCAACGAGCCTCTGGGGTGCAGTTCTTGCCATCCCAGAGGGTGTCCGGGCAGGGGGCGGGCTGGGGACAGTGCGTCCTCACGGGTGGCTTCTCAAGTCACCTGGGGTCTGAGCTGCGCACGGTGCCCGCCCAGGCCCTGCCGAGCCCCAGCCCCGTGGCCGCCCCGTGGGGTGCGGGCCTCGCTGACCGCCGCCCTGTCCCGCAGGTTCTCCCGCTCGGACGAGCTGTCCCGGCACCGGCGCTCGCACTCGGGCGTGAAGCCGTACCAGTGCCCGGTGTGCGAGAAGAAGTTCGCGCGGAGCGACCACCTCTCCAAGCACATCAAGGTGCACCGCTTCCCGCGGAGCAGCCGCTCGGTGCGCGCCGTGAACTAAGCCTTCAGCCCGGCCCCCGCCCAGCCACCCCCTTATTTTGTAGCAATAATTTATTTGCCTTCTTCAGAGGAACGCCACAATGTTACCAACCCACCTTCTGAAGCCCGGGAGGCACAGAAGAGGGGGGCTGGCCTGGGAGGCGTGAACCCAGAGCCACCCCCCCAACTTGCCGCCTCTCCTGGGACTTAGCGCCGCACCCAAGTCCCTGGGGGCTGGGTCCCCAGGGTCCCGGGCTGGAGGTCGGCCCTCTGGTGCCTTCTGTCTCGTGCCTTCCCTGGCCTCTGCTGCCGTGCCGCTGGGGGCCTAGCCCTTCTCCCGCTGGGCACTCTGCCTGGGCCAAGGCCAGCACTTTACTGCTTGGGAAGAAGAAATGTGGAGTTTTGGAATGTCACTTTCCACAGGGAACCATGCCAGGAAGGAGGAAGTAGGCCGAAAGTCCAGGGCTGCACTGTGGTGTGGGGGTTTCTGCTCAGCTGAGCGCCCCAGGCGGTGGGCAGGGCGGTGGGGATGGGGCAGTGCATGTGCTGTAGTTAAACGTGCAGAGCAGACAGATGCAGGCTCGCCCAGCACCTGCGCCCAGCATGGCTCACCCTCTCTCCCTGTTTCCAGACAAATCCAAACACCAGCCTCCAGGGTCACCTTCGGGAGGAGAGGGAAGCAGACTGCGTTGTGTGTGGAAGAGCTAGATAGAAACTCCCCATCCTGATTTAGAAATGCATTCCTTATTTTGTCTAGAAATTAATATCAAATGAACTAGCTTGTTTTGACAGGTTTATTTCACATCCTATGAATGTATGTAAATAAAATGTACATAGGTACATCTACATAAAATATCTTTTAATAACATATCAACATTTGTGTACATTTGAAATTAAAAAATCTATGAAGCTGGTGTACATATGTTACAATTATGTATATTTTCTTTGGTCCTTCATAAAAATATATTTACTTTGCCAATAAAAAAGAAAAAAAAGAACTGAAGAGCTTCACGGCATTCATGTGCTGTCTTCCTCTGGAATGCCAGGAGATCGGGGTGATTCTGGGGGCTCAGTCTGGGGACTTTGGTTTGGTCCCAGGAGGACACAAAGGCCCCTATGGGGTCCAGCTGGGCATTTCCCCCACACAGCCCCACCTCCATGCTGGCTGTGGGGCTACTGCTTATTCTAATTTCTGGGAGGGCACGGAGCCCCATCTCCTCTCCATAAACCCAAGTCCAGCCCCCCTTCTCAAGCGTCAGTTCTGGGAAGTCACTGCAGGCCAGGGCAGTCCCTCAGGGGCCACTGCTGCTCTGATGTACTGTTTGAAACTTTCGCTTGGTGCTCATACCCAATGTGTGGTTCACCCAGCAACTATTGTGCACCTACTGTATGCACTGTGTTCTGGTTGGGCAGGTCGTTTCTCCTCTTAGATTCCCCTAGGAAATGACAGGGTATCTCCCACGTGCAAGGTGATTAAGGATGAATTAGGGGGTCTTGTCCAGGCAGAGGGGAGACTCACAGAGGAGATGTCAATATATGAAGTTAAGTCACCTTCCTCCCCCTCCCAGATCCTCTGAGGAGACAAAACTCCCCTGACTCCTCAAAAGGATTGAGGTTTCTGTTGTGAGGTTGTACAGTGAGGCTTGGCCCATCCACATGTCCTGGGCAGGCTGGGAGGTTGGGGGTGTGGGGGTGGGCGGAGAACCAGGACAGGCCATGAGCTAGTCAGGGGCCTCACCAAGGTGGAAACTGCTGGCTGGACAGGGTCACGCCACAGCAAGAGGCCTACCCTGGTGGTTTTGAACTCAATAAGTGAGAGGTGGGGACCTTTGAGGTGTGGTCCTCAGCCCAGGAGCCAGACGCCTCAAGTCCTGGGAAGTGTTCCTCAGTGACACCCGTAGAGATCTGGAGCCAGGTGGTAAAGCACCCATGGACTTCCAGCAGAGATGTTTCAGTAAGGGTGTGCATGCGTGTGTGCATGTGCGTGTGTATGTGTGTGGGGGGGAGGTCATGCACCCCTGGCAGATGGAGGCCATTATTCCTGCTCACTTGGGAGCCCCCTGCTGAGCCTCCGTCCTGTCCAGGGGGGCTGGCAGACTTGGAGCTTCCGTCTGTGCCCAGGATAGCACAGTGATCAGAGAATGGACATCCCATCCGACGGCCCCGGTCCTGGGGAAACAACTCGGCCTTGTCACCTCTGCCCTTTGCCCCTGACTGGATGTACCTTCTGTAGCCAAACATGCCCCAGGAAAGCCAGGCATTGATTTCCAGGCACGCTCATGTCGCCTTTCTTCATCCGTAAACAAGCCAGCATCCCAGATAAGGGACAGCAGGGGTCAGGACCGTCACCCTGGAGGAGTAGGCCTGCGGCATGGCCGCCCACAGGGCACCACTCAGCTCATCCCAGTATGTCCCTGGCAGCCTGCTCACTCAGAGCCCCCAGCCCTGGCTGGCCCGTCCAGTGCAGGCTGGGCTAGCCGTGTGTTGTCTGCATGGCCCTCTCAGTTTGGGCTTCCAGACTCCTCACCTGACAGGTGTGTTCACCCCCTTGCTACGCACCTGCCTGGGTGGGCAGCCCAGCCCAGGACTCTGCTTCCGGGAGGTGTTGACCAAGAGCGGGCCGGTGGGTGGGGGCCAGCTGAACCGGGGGAGCAGGGCTGAAGGGTAATGAGGATGGGTTCTTGAGTCTCCTCCACCCTGTTGGGTGAATTTCTTACATCTCTGAATTTGGGCTTCTTTACCCTGCTGAGCCAATATGCGAGTCCCCAGGTAGCTACAGGATGGTGAATCATGAGGACAGCATGAGTGTGACTTTGAGCAACGGCAGGGACTCGGGATGTGGGCCTGCCTCTGTGCCATCTGGAGAACTGGGGGTCTACCTTGGGGGACCCACATGAGCACTGAGAGTTCTACTGAGGCACCTCTGGGAGGCCCCATACCACCTCCTTTTTCACCCTTTGTAACTCTGTGGCCGGAGGAGGGTTTGTCTTGGCCTGTAGGCTGAGAAAGTGGATGGAACTGGGAGTCGGTGTGTTAGTAGGGGAGGAGCTGGGGCAGTCACAGAGTAGAAACCAGGCCTGAAAGACATCCCTCCCAACACACACACACGCACACGCACACACGCACACATGCACACGCACACACGCACACATGCACACGCACACACTCCCTGCTCACTCCCCAGGGCACACAGAAGGGAGTGAAGTAGCTTTACCTGAGTCCTGTGCTAGAATATGGTTAGGCTGCTATAACAAAGAAATCCCCCAACACACTGGCTGTGGCTACAAGTACTGACGGAAGTTTCTTCCTCTCTGTTTAAACAGTCCAAAAACAAGTAGCTGGACTGCTGTGGTGGATCAAGTGTGGGGCACCCAGACTGCTCTCTTGTTGCCCTCTATGTCTCTCCAGGGTACAGAGCCAGCCAAGAAAGGCAGGCAAGAGGCCTATGCGCCCTCCACCCCTGCCAGGCTCTGGGTTTGCACAGTCCTTCATATTCACTTCCCCACATGGTCACAGGCCTAATGTACCACAAGGGAAGGTGGAAAACGTAGTCTTATCCCGGGAGTTTATGAGCACAGCTAAGATTTGGAGGTCCATTCCAGAAGAAGGAAGGCATGTGCTGGAGTTGAGTTTCTGCCATAAGCACATCTGTGGTGGGCTGGTGCCAGGCTATACTGTGCTCATAGAGGGCCATCCACCGCCCCAGAACCTGCATACAGTGCTGGCATGTCATAATGGAGGCTGGTGGGCTCACTTGCATGGCCTTGCCCGTATTTGCAGATGGGTGTCACTGATAAGTATAGGGCCAATGGGCAGGCCTCCAGGGGCAGCAGATTATCCAAAGGGAAACCCTGCTGAACAGAGGAATTAAGATGCTTTGCTTGACAAGCCAAGGTTACAAAGGACAGAGTTTTGACTCTTACAGACAAAAGTAAATACAACAAAACCAAATCCACATAATGTCACCATTGTCTACTTCTGAATAGGCACAGTATCTATACAAGTATCATGGAGGCAAAGAGAACAGAAGCAGAAAGGCCCCAAGGCCAGGGCTTCTAGGAAACTGCAGCTTTCTTACATACCAGTTGGTTCAGAATAATAAGCCTGGTCATGGGTTGGGGAGGAAACTGGGCATATACATGTTGGCCTTCACAGCTTTGGGTAGGGAAAGGGGCTTAGAATGTCATATAAGATGATGGAACATGGACACAAGATCAGTCCTCCTGTGAGAAACAAGCTCTTACTTTGTTTGAGGGCAGGCAAAGATGGAAACTGAAGCTGTGAGACCTGTTAAAAAAGACAACAGATCAAGAAAAATGGAGGCATGAGGTTACCTGATTTTAAACTATATTTTAAAGCAACAGTAATTAAAACATGATATTGAAATAAAAATAGACACATAGAGGAATGAAACAGAATTGAGGAGTCCAAAAATAAATCCATCCCTACATCAATACCTAATTTGGGACAAGTGAGGCATAACCACACAATGGAGCAGGGGAAGGTTTTCAACAAATGGTATGGGGAAACTGGGCAGTCACATGTAAAAGAATAAAACCAGCTCACTCTCCAACTCAAACTATACACAAAAATAAACTAAAAATGTATTAAAGACTTGAATGTAAGACCCGAAATCATTAAATACATAGAAGGAAATCTTGGTGATATACTCCATGATGTCAATGATATGGGTGTCTTTGGGGACCCAAACCCCTCCAGCAGGGAAATGAAAGCAAATAAATATGTGGGGTTACAAACAATTAAAAAGCTTTTGCACAGTGAAAGAAAATTTCCAAATTAAAAAGAGAGTCTACTTAATGGAAGAAGATATTTGCCACCACACATTCTCTGAGGGGTTATTATTCAAGGTATAGAAAGAACTTATCCAAATTAATATTAACTAACAATAATAATACCCAATTAAAAATGGGCAGATCAGAATAGACACTTTTCAAAAGAGATTTATGAATGGCCAACAGACATGAAAAATGTCCATCGTCACTTCTTTTTAGGGAAATGCGATGAGATAACTTCTCACACTTGTGTGAAGGAGTTACACCACAAAGCCTGCTAACAGCAAGCATTGGCAAGGATGCAGAAAAAGAGGAACTTTATACAGTCTTTTATTTATTTATTTATTTATTTATTTATTTATACAAGCACTGGGTACAGTCAGAAGCGCGGGAGGGTGAGAGAGTTCACCAGAGCCAGAGTGGGGAGCAGAGCAGGCAGAAGGACCGAAGCACACTGCTGAGGGGAGCAGCGGGCGGCAGGAGAGGTCTGCGCGCCATGTGGGACCCTCCGCCGGTGGCCGGGGAGCAGCCGGGGATCGAACCGGAGCTGCAGAGGCTGCGGGCAGCTTCGCAACCCAGCGCTCAACCACTGCGCCACCGGGGAGGCCCTTTATACAGTCTTGGTAGAGTGGTGTAGTCATTTTGGAAATGGACTTTCCTCAAACAACTAAAAATAGAACTACCTTATGATCCAGTAATGTCACTTCTAGGTATTTTATCTGAAGAATATAAAATCATCAACTCAGAGAGTTATGAGCATCATCATGTTTATTGCATAATAGCTAAGTTGTGCCAGCACCTTAAGTGCCCACTGACAGACGACTGGATAAAGAGGGGGTGGTCTGTGTTACCGTGGAACACTGCTCAAACCTAAGGAAAAAGGAAAAGTTTGCATCCGCAGCAAAATCGAAGGTACTGGAGGGGATCATGTGAAGTGGAATTCGTTAGACACAATTAAAATGACTGTAATGGAGGGAAAGGAAGAAGCGTCCAGAAGACTTCAAGAAAGCACACACCTCAGTGAATCACTGCAGGGCCCAAAAGGGTTCAGAAATTTTCTGTGACCTTCGGTAGGGAAAAAATGCGGTGGCTCCACGGAGGCCGCTGAGAAGGCCCAACAGAAAAACAGGATGGAGCAGACGGAGAGAGAGAGAGAAGGGAGATTGAAAGGAGGTGAGCACTGCAGCTGCAGAACTGAACCCCG